GACTGAATACGATTAACTTTAAATTTATTGCGTCATACTATTCGAACAAAGGGAGGCGGATAGAAAAAGCGGCAGCAAAGGTCTGATAGCAGCAGAGGAGAAAAGCAGTCTCTGACGCAAGATGGCACGAATTCTTCATTTATAGAAGTGGTTACGTAATATGTTCGAATGTTCTCGAAAGTACTGGTCTAGGGGGAAGATCCTGAAATTGCGGAAAGTTAATTAGAGGTTGCTTGTTCCCGGAGAGCAAATCCATCGTATTTTTTATATTTTACATATATATATTGGCCTACATACCACATTCACCACAATAACAATAATAATAAAATGATTTATTTGTAACAAAATTATTAAAAAAATATGTATATATCATCCCGAATTTCGAACTTCAAAATCTGGTCACCTTAGTTAAAAGTAATAATTGTTATTTAATTATAATGCTACTTATTTAAAATATATAAATTTCTCTGCTTAATTGTTTTTCTTAATTCATCATTTTTTCCCTTTGTCCCATTAGAAAACAATATATTAAAGTTCCACTGTATAACCACTTTGGTAAAATGTAGGGTTTATACAAAAACAGACTTTTTTGAAAAACTAGTTTTTGAATTCAATATTTCCAAAAAACCGGTTTTAATCAGTTTTCAAATTTTTGCCAGAAAAATAATGATATCTAGACGATATCATTCCTGATAATGTAATAATTTCGGTTTTTGAAGCTAAAGAAAGTACGTTAGATTTCTTCGCTGAACTAGAAATGTTTTGTGGATTTTGCAAATACAGCAAAAGAGTTGCTAATTCTACTTGTATTCTTTCTTGAATTCGTTTTCTAAAGAATTTATTCATTAGAAGAACGAATGCATAAGAATAGAACGAATTCTTCTAAAGAATTTATTCATTTCGTATGAATGAACTATTTGTAAAGCATATAATAATTTCAAACTTCAGTGTTTAAATTTTTTATTTCACTTAATAGAAATTCAAATATGTACCTTCACTTGTTAAGTAAATTGGCATCTCGTCGCCCTAAGCCTTCAGCTGCTAGGCGAAATCGGTCCCAACACTTTATGAAGTCCTAAAAGTTTAGGATATTGAGCTTCATTCCACATATAAGAAGAACCAATATCATTCAATGCTAAAACAACACATTCTTTTACTGCCAGAAATCTTCCAGTAATGTCATCCATTCTATTGCACCTTGTTTTGCAGTCAAGAATTACATTTAATTCCTTTCCTTTTTCTTTTTTGATATAATTTTGAAGAATGGTGTTTCTTACTGGAGATTTTCTAAAGAACTTACAAATTTTTCTAATTTGTGAAACTGATCGTTTGTAATTGTCAGACAAAATAGCAATAGAATGTTCTTGGTTACAAACATAATAAAGAGAATCTTCATAATTGTTATATTTGTATTCGTCTTCATCTTCTGATTAACTGCTAAGTGAATGTCATGTGAATAGCATAGTTGATTAATTATAGCTGATAATTTGCCAAATTTTTTCATAACAGCAGCACCATCTTTTTTTTTTTTTCCTTTGAGAACATACAGACTCCCCGTGCACCACATATGTACAACACGAGGCTTACAGAAGTAAGTAAACTAGAACATTAAAGGTTACATGTATAAATAAACATTAAAAATTACATGCATAAATAAAGCGAACAAAAGCGGAGAACAGCAGTCTGGACTTCACGAAAAACAGATAAGTTCACTGGCCAAGTCACTCCGAACATTTTCAAATCGTTCTGTAAGCATAATCTAGGGCCATCAAATGTAGGGCACGAGAAAATCAAATGTTCCACATCCTGAGGAACTCTTTTTGAACTTTCACATAAATTATTTGATCGTAGGTTAAAACGAAACAGATAACTTGCAAATTTACCATGACCAGATAAAAACTGAGACACTTTAAAATTTAACGAGAGGAAAGACTCGGAATTCAGTCTATGGTAAACAGAAGGAAGGAACTTTTTGGTGACTTCAGCATTACAAGATGAAATGTATTCCTCATTCCACATAGCTAAAAGCTTTTTATAATGAAAGGATTTCCAATAACTCTTTGGAATGCTAATGTTGATATCAATGGGTAAATTTAAGGCATCTTTAGCTAAGAAATCAGCTCTTTCATTTCCGTAGAAACCATGATGAGCATGCACATAAGCAAAGCAGATATCAATACCTCTAATTCTAAGCGAACTAACAGTTACTAGGGTTTGGATAACTAATTTATTTGCAGCTGTAATACTGTTCAAAAGTTGAAGAGAGAAAGAAAGAGAATCAGAACAAATAAGGTACTTTGAAGTTGTCCCATGATGATCCTGAAATCCATTTGACGGCAATATAAATGCACAGAAGTTTGCCTTGAAAAAAACTGTACATTCATTCCGTATACGGTATCTAAAGAAAAACAAAATCTCGGAATGGCCTTCAAAAAGAACAAATGCAAGGCCAACCTTGTTGTTCATCTTGCTGCCATCTGTAAAGAAAACCATATGAAAAACTTATTTCAGCAGTCTCTTTATAATCACAGAAATTTATGGGTTCTAAAGAAGCAGGATGAGGAAGGAAGATCAGTGAAGGGGACAATTCCATGAACACAGTCTTCCGAAGCATGAGTTTTGCCAATGACTCAAAAATATTATTCTTATATGCAATTTCAAAAATCAATAGGCGGAACTCCTACAAGAACAAAAGTACCTCATAGCTTAAGGTTCTATAACCACTAATAATACGAAGAAGAATTCTTCCGTTGAATCTTTCTTAAATTTCTTTTGTTAACCTTCTTGGCAAGAACATGTCCCCAAGCACGACAGCCGTACGAAATGAAAGGTACAATACACTGCTTATACATGAGTTTCTTAACATCGTAGCTTACTCCAAAAGTATTTTTGGCAATTCGGTGAAAGCCATTAATAATTTTTTCACATTTAGCAGAAAGGAATTCAATGTGCTTTTTCCATGTCAATTTTTGGTCAATTTTAATTAAATATTTAACATTTCCTACAAATTCCAACGGAGAATTATCGAGCATCAAAGAAGCAATATTTTGTTCATCAAACGTACTGGGAACAAGCATAGCTTTACTTTTTGAAGGATTGAAAGTGCAACTGTGTCAGTTTCTAGATTTAAGTTGAAATTTTGCTGCCAGTTGCATAGAATGAATAGCAAATCAAATAAGTTTAAAATTAATTTTTACATAATGATTTGCACGTCAGAACAGCTACGGATCTCCACCAGTGTTTCCTCTATCAATCCTTTAACCAGTATAATAATAATAATAATAATAATAATAATAATAAAAAAAAAAGGTTTGAAACCCTAGTAAAATGAAACTATAAGTTCTTAATAAAATTAAGTTATATGGCATTTCTGTTTAATGTTCCATGAAAGGAAGTTTAAATGCTAAAATGAGAAATAGTTATCAAACATGTATAATGTCAAATAACTTTTACTGTGATATATTTGTGCCAAATTTGGTGAAACATATAAATGGTAAAGTTTTCAACCAGCATTCGGTTTGTCTTATGTTTGATTCCAATGATCTTTATAAGTAATAAATTAATAAATATAGTACAGGAACTTATAAACGTGAACACTGGTGACTAATAACTGGCTACACAGAATTGTTTCAACATAGGTCAATTAATGAATATAGACTACATTGTATAAAATAATGCATGCAAAAGTATGGCAACAGCTGAAATTTCCCTGTTTTCTTAAAGTGATAAAGCATATAACCCAAACATCTCAACTCCACCCTCCCAAAAAAATTTGCAAAAAGCTCAAATGAGTTATCTGAAAACTGTAAAGAAACACAAACAAGTGGAAAAGCAAAAGAGAATTTGGAAGGGTGGGGATATAAACTGAAAGTCTGGAAGCTGTTGGATGAAGTAGAATATCTCATTTCTTACAAAATATCGTGAAAGCTTTTCCAAAAATGAAAAGCAGCCAAGCAGTATTACAAGAGCATTAAAAAAAGTCAAGCAGCATCCTAAAAAACTTTATATAATACAGGAAGAGATGTATAAAACTTTGAAAAGAAGGAAAATTTAAGGTAACTTTAATATTCTCATTTATGGTCAGTTAGCTAAACATATGGCTTGTTAGTTAAGGCATTAGCTATGTATTAAAAATTGGTCTTAGTTGCACTCAGCATTTTTAAAATTTGGTGATCTAATTAATTGTCAATATAGAACATATCTCTCCATGTTTATTTGCATTCATTTTCATTAACATCTTAAATATTTTTACCTTGTGAAAAAGATATTGGCTAAAGTCATTTAATTTAATTTACTTGTAAAATATCCAAAAAAGTACTTACAACATTTTGATTGAAATTTATTTCTTAATGAAAAATATACTTGTTTTTATCTAATCTGAAAATCATGTTACGTAACCTATGTAGGTCTATAGATTAATGTTATGAAGCTATTAAAATTTATATTAGGTATGTAGTTGTTTCAAGATAAATGTTTAATGTTCTTTCTGAGTAAAGATAAAAGAAATTCAAAGGCTTAACATATCAGTTTTTTATTTATAAGTAAATATGCTCATAGAAACAAACTACTTCAGTTTTATCTTTGTTGCTTCAGACTGTTATAGTTTTGAAATTTAATTGCTTAAAACCATTACAGTTATCAAAATATATTGCTCGAATATGTTAAATTTTGAAATATTTGTTGCTGCTTTTCTTAACATTTGTTGCTCTACTGACTTAGCCAAAAGTATTTTTGAAATCATGTCTTCTATTGTTGGATACACTGTTAAACTTCGGTAGTTCTTGTGTGCTATCTGCTCCTTGTAGTAATCATGTGTTCTTGATGTATATTTGATATTACTTATGAGTAAGATTAAGATGAATGTTTTACATTATTTATGAGTAATGAGACTAATATTGTTCATTTACAAGCAAATGTCCTTATTAAAATTAAAACTGTATTGAACCTATATGTGTTACAATTAAAATTAGTTAATGAGATGAAATTATCTTATTTAACAGCAGAAGGCATTCGTCTGAGACAAATCAATGGTAACTCGACTCAAGATGATCTGGATGCTGTCATGCAGTACCATAATTCAATGCAAGAGAAAGTAGCCCAGGAGATGATGTCTCTTGTACAGAATTTGAAACAAAATAGTCTTTTAGCTGGTCATATCATACGTAAAGATACTGAGGTATAGAATTTATATTTCATTAGGATCATTTTGATATTCCTTCCATTTTAAAATACAAGATTTTCTTTTCTGTATTGCTTTAATGAAAGTTTTTGAAGATTGAAGATAACAAGCTTTTTAAGAGGGCATTCAGATATATCTTGGACTGTTGGATTTTTTGTGCAGTTCTTCATGTAGCATGGGGTAATAACTTTGTATATTCTACATGCTACCTAAAGTGTAGTGGAAGCTTGATTTTGTCTGTCAATATAGTGCCTGTGAGAATTTTAATGCATAGGAAGTATCTATCCTTGAAACAAAGGATTATTGATAAATATTGTTGCAAAATGCCCAGTGAGATAGCTTTCCTGCAAAACGGAGTTAGGGTTACTAGAAAGTGACAGGGTTGGCAGATTTGGTGCAAAATTGCACTTTTGCCATATATGGCAAAAAAAATTGGTGATATGCCATAGACAGAGCAAGAACATTCTAAAATGCATTCTTAGCAATTTTCTTGAGAATATTCTTGAAGGTAGGTTAAAGCTATATATATCCCTGCCTGTATGGGGAGAGAGTAGTAGTGTTTTAAATTCAGAGATTAGCTTGAGAACGATCGACCGAGTCAGGATCTGTACTTTAATGCTTTGCTGTGAAGCTGTCTTCACTGTTATAGCTGGAAGGCTGTGTTGCTGATTGTTTCAGCATGTTTATCATAGTAAATAAAAAAAAATAAAGTTGCAAAAAATAGCACAACGAAATTATGGAGTGGCAGAAAATTCACAAAACAGCACAGACATAAATTCTAGCAGCACAGGTTTGTCAAATGCAGCAAATTTGCAAAAAATCATACAATCTCATAACACTGCATGAATTAAGAAATCAACCTTCACCTTTTTAGGTGGAATTAATAGCTATTTGGAAATGGACATTTATACTTGTTGCATCATCTGTGGGCAGGAGGAATAATTATTTGCCAGATTTTTGGCCTTTTGAAAATGTCAGCTTACAGAAGTGAAGAGGACAAAACTAATTGATTTAGTATAACATGACATGTACAAGCAAATCAGGAAAATTAGAAGTTATTAACACTTTAAAAGCAATAAATGTTAAATAAGAGGATTAAACAAAGTGTAGTTAATGTAACATGAAAAGTATAAGGTTGAAAAACGTATAAATTACAAATTATTAACACTTGACTGTAACTGAATATAAACACCTGAGAATTAATAAATGCTAACAGTTGAAAATAAAGGAAAAATTATCTACATGCAATGTCTATGAACAGACTGTGCAAAATCATTAAATACCATCTTGCTAGATGGTGAATACTTCAAGGGCATTTAAGTGGATTATCCAGCATAGGGTCATGTAGTCCACTAGGCTAGCTGGGTGCATATATTAAGAATTTTTCAACATTTAAAAGAAATTGTACTCTGTAGCCAATATAAAATAATGAGTGTTACAACTTTGATCTGTTTATGAATCTGTGTATTTCTAATGAACCATGGAATGTTGATTTTAATATACAAAGCCTTGTTTACATTTTTCTTTTTGAAATTTTGGTGCTGTTGCCAAGTTATTTGACTGCATTTTCATTGTTCCTATTTATGCCATCTTTTGCTCTTCCCCCCCCCCACCAAGAGAAAAAAAGAACTTATTTATAAATTTATTTATTTGAGGTTTTGCAAAAGTCATTCTCAATGGCGGATGACAGATATTTTCGATTAAACATGGAAAGTGAAAAATTAAATTATGCTGTAAATTATTATATATAAAAAATTAAAAATAATACATAATTAGCCCAAAGGACATTAGCCTAGAAGGGCTATTAATTTCGTTTTGGCATTTTGCATTGAAAACTTTAAATGTTGGTTTACTTTTCAAACTGCTGCCACCAAATATTACAGCCCTGTATTATATTTAAAGAAATTAAATAATGAAGAATCTGCATAAATGTATGCATGTTTCTCTCATTGTGATAAAACAATGGTACCTAGAGCTATCAAATTTCGAATAACGCACGCTTCCACCTGAATATGGGCATCTGGAAGTCCAAATTTGGAATTTGTTTTATTATCTATTTCATAATTCGTAAAACTTTGACGAATTTTTGATTAACAAAATCAATGATTTCAAAGCGAGCAACTGCAACACTGTACGAAAAAAAAACATTTTTATCTCCAGCGCCAGACTGTGTATAGGAAATTCTAAAGATATGTTCATTTTAAAATTATTTTGCATTTTTGCTGTTGAACTGAATGTTATGATTTAAGTGCAAAGAATATGACATTATTTAATAAATATAAATAAAGGTAATGCACAAAATGTGAAAAAATTGCCCCTTTGGACGTAATGTAAAATCTGAAAGCTTTCAGTTTTATTTTTTAATGTTTTATCTTTACATTTATTTTAAGAATTGTTTTAGATTGTATTAAATACATAAAAGCAGGCAACATTTCGATGTTGTCTTAACCGAGTTTCATAATTTTATGCTGGATGCCAATGCTCCTCAGGAAAGGGTTTGGAAAACACTGGGTTAAAGTAAAAACTTAAAAGGGTAAAAATTGAATTCTGCAATTGAATTCTGGAACTAGAAAATCTTCTTTTTCATGCGCTAATGCTAATAAAACTTATTGTGATCGAAAAGTAGCAAAACATAATTATGAATTTCATATTGTCGATAAATGATTCTTTATGTCACTCTAAAAATAAACATTATATTCTTGCCATATGAAAGACCTATGAATGATGTTATACTTTAAAAATCAGAATGGTTGACATTACGGTGCTTCAGCTTGCGAACGAAAATAAAAAAAGAAGAAGGTTAATGCTGTTTCTATCATTTTGAATGTCAATTTTAATATATTAAATAATGCATTAAAATATAAAATTACTAATATTTTTATTTTTTTACTTTAAAGAACTATTTAAGTGAGATGTTGTCATTACATATGTTTGTTTTTAGCTCTTTGTCTCTCATGATTCAGTTTAGCAAACAAATTTTCTAGACTGTTTGAAAAGGATTTTATTTTTTATTATGAATGCACGTTTCTAAATACAGTCAAAAGTCGTTAATCCGGACTCGTCGGGACTTCGGCGAGTCCGGATTATCGATTTTTCTGGATTATAGATCATCAGTTTAAATCTGGTAAGATGGCATGCAGAAATTATAAAATTAAAAAATATGAAACCGTAATTTATTTATGAAATAAAGAGAGCAATTATGATCTAAAGGGTATCAAAAAATTACAAAAATAAAAAGTGCTTAATATTTTATTTGTTTACTTTATTAAACATTTCTTTCAATGTAAGTTGTTTAAGTTGCTTCGTTTTATGTGATAATACTTTCTCTTTAATTCTATAAACAAACATAATTTCTTGTTCAGTTACAAAGTTCCGCTGTTCAAGTCCTATATTTGCTGTGTCGAGACTACCGACTAATTTATCAATCGAAATTTTTTCATTTTCAATAATCTCTGTGTCACTTTCTTCACTATCAGAAGCGAATTATAATGGCGAGGAATTTGATTTAAATCATATGAAAGACGGAGTACATCGAGATGAAATACTACATTTAGTAAGGATTTATAAGCCGAATAAAATAAAAACATCTGCCCTGAAGATAAGGATAGTGCTGACAGATCAACTTCCAATTCATTGCATGCCGCGACTCCCCCCCCCCCCTCCGTAGAGCAGTGTGAAATTGATAAACAGATTTCGGAATGGTTAGAGAAAAAAAAGATATGCCTTTATCCATTTTTTGCAGCAGTTCCACTTTTTGCTTGATGGGCATCGAAACATACTTTCACTTTGTAGATCCTTTGAAATTCTATTTGACATAATTGAAAGTTCAAGCTTACTTTTATAAAATTGCTCTAACAGTCTGCAAAAAATAATAAGCCGGATCCAATTCGAAGATTAAGGAAGAACGCAATCTGCAGCATTAACTGAAATAGATAATTAGATAATTTTAGCTTAGCTTATACCATCCGTTATACATTAAATGCACATGCGTAAACGTATTATGCATCGACGCATACGCACATGCGTATGTGTGGATGCATTATGCGTTGACGCATGCGCAGAAAGTTTGTAGCTTTGAGGTCCGGATTGTAGATCATTCCGGATTATGGGTGTCCGGATTAACGACTTTTGACTGTATAAGCATGGGCGAATGTTTAGAAGGCTAGATTTTATATTTTTAGCCCAAAGAGGCATTATACCCAAAGAGCTATTGGTCTAAAAAAGGCATTTTGCATCATTTCACTTTTTGCGTTGGTTCTCTTTTCAAACTGTTGCCACCAAACATTATCGCCATGTATTATATTTAAAGAAACTGAATAATGAAGACACCTGTGTGGTGACCGGGTGTGAAAGAATAGTCCCAATGTAGCTCATGCATGTCTTAAAAGGTGACTGAAATGGGTACCCAGTGTCCAGGGGGTATAGCTGGGCATCCCTGCCTTCAGGGAGTTTATAAATTTGGTGGCATGGTCCTCCAGGTTGGGGGTTGGACGTGAGACCAACTACCTCACCCAGTAAAAAACATAGCTGACTGTATCATGGCCTTGAAGTGAAATCAGTTTCGGAAGGTCACGTGATCTAAATAGTCTATCTCTTTCTCTTCACTATAATCCCGGAGTTCAACTTTGCCGAAAATAATAGTTTGTCTTAAAATAAATGTAAGTAAAATTAATAAACGTGAGTAGGTTGCATGGTTTACATTAAATTTTTCATAGTGCAATATTTTTACAGGTGGTAAAAATGTATAGCTTCAATAATTTTTAAAACAATTTGTACTTTGTTTATGTAACTAAAAATATCATTGAGAATCACCACATGCGAACGTTATTTATGTAATTTCGATAAAAATGAAATCCATTTATGTAATCTGAATCAAATTTATTCCCAAAATAATATAAAATCCACATAAGGGAGGAATTTAATAGATTTATGGATACAAATTTTATATTTTCATACTAGTAAAATAAATATTAAGGGCAGAATTATTTTGTAAAACT